GACCGTATCTTTAAAGATTGACTTCCACAATCTCAGTTTTGTAAGGCACCTTATCTAGCAGCAATTACTATTAGCTGTATTAAACCCTAACTTAACCCAATTATTAGCATCTTGGCTCATATTCCAAAGGCCCAATTTTTGATGAATGAAAATTTACAACTAATTTTGTCTATTTGGAGACCAATTAGGTGAACAAGTTGTGGATCTCTGTGCCAAAACCATCTGAATAAGTTTGCCTTAGAGTTACATTTGAGCTTTCACAGTTTCTTTCTCAAGCCGATAGAATTCATTTACCAAGATACAAGCAAAAGCAATGGGACTGATTTTGGCACTGTCAAAATAGGCAACTTCCTTTTGGTGTACAAACCTTCAGTCTTTACCTGGGTGAAGGACTTTTACTAGTATGGTCCATTCAGAGTTGACATGTTTGTAACAGCTGTATTCAATCTTTTGACACAAGTGCTGTTTATCTGAATTGCTTCCATTAAACTCATATTGTTTAATCCATTTTAGCTTGGAACGGGTTATTGTTTTAAATAATTCAAAGCATATGGAACAAAGATGATAATTCTTTTCACTCTCACAGGTATTAAAGAGTTTTGTGAACAAAGGTCATCTTCTGTTTGCAAAGCTGTTTCTCTCAGAACATTGCTGCAATTGATTCAGACAGCACAGCTTACTTAGGATGCATTTTGTTTCCAGTAGGCATTTTAATCTGCTAGTCCAAATTAATCTTTAAGTTTGCCAATTTCCATTTTTTTCCTGGCAATGTTTGGTGTTCCACAATGAACGAGGAAAACCATTTCTGGTAAAGGTTGTTCCTTCTCTCAATTTTCAGCTATCATCTTTGGCCTCACATATTCAAACATGCACCTGGATCTTGTAAAAGTTCTGGTTATCTAATGAAGCCTTCCTTCCCCTTCATGGGAACAGGCCATGAAGCACCACAGAATGACCGAATGGTTGAGGTTGGCAGGGACCTCTGGAGGCCATCTGGTTGAAACCCCTGCTCAAGCAGGGCCTCCTAAAGCCAGCTGTCCAGGACCACATGCAGACAGCTTTTGGGTATTGTCAAGGATGGAGACTGCACAACCACTACGGGCAACGTGTTCCAGCACTTAGTCACCCTCAGAGTGAAAAAGTGTGTCCTGATGTACAGGAAGAACCTCCTGTGTTTCAGTTTGTGCTCATTGTCTCCTGTGCTGTCACTGGGCACCACTGAAAAGAGCCTGGCTCTGCCTGTTTTACACACTCCCTTCAGATATTTAAATACATTGATAAGATCCCCCCTGAGCCTTCTCTTCTCCAGGCTTCAGACCCTCCTCACACAAGAGAAGCTCCAGGCTCTAGCAGAACAGAACTATACAATGTCATTTCCAGGCCCTTTTTTGTTTTCTTGCTCCTTTTCACAGGTATGCCTTTGGCCACCAAGCTGAATTAAGTCACCAAGAAGTTTTCTAAAAGATATGAGACACTTGCATTAATTGGTTTGGGACAATTTGCTTCCTCCTCCTCAAGTCTTTGTAGACCTTGAGAAGAACTGCTGTAAATGTAGAGTATTTCTGATAGCATTTAACCAGTATCATCAAAAAAATATGACCTTCACTGTTGTCTGGAACTGCTCATTTTCTTTCATCAATGCATTTTACTGCTGAAGTCTTTGAAGTTTTTTCTGTTACTAAATTCAAAGTTGGCCAAAACTTTAATATGCTCTATTTTCTAGACAACTTTCTGATCTAGTGCAATCAGGTTGCTGATTCTCTCTTTAATGTGACATGACTGTCCAGTTGGTTTATGGCTGGGTTTCTCAATATGCCTAAATCTTTTGTTCTAACAAAGATTCATCGATGCTTACAGGTAATTTTTCTCTTTCCTGGAAATCATCCAGTTGTCCTTGTTTCAAAAAGAGCTTAACTGTTTTCACTATCTTAAAAGATGGCAGAACCTAGCTGTTTCAGATATTTTGCCTACAATATGTGTGTAATACATATCACAGAGGTTTGCTCACAATACATTATTGCTCACTTTTTGCGGTATTATAAGGTAGTTGTTACACAGAAAAGTCTTTGGAATTGACTTAATATTTACTGAAAAATAGAGAACTTTTGAGCTCACTGTTTTCATTAAGTTCTTCCAGTACAAAGCCTATGTTTTAAAGAGATTTGATTTCTGAAGAGAAACCTGTAAAAAGTCTAATTTCTTCAGAATGAATTGGGTCACATCCCATTCTTACTGAGATTTGTACACACAAGTTACTTGAACTAGAGACTTGTTTTTTCAGTTTAAGTTGTATCTACAGGATCATGCCTACTTGCTTCTGGAAAACAGAGAGTTAGGAAACATCTGACATCAAACTCAAAGAGAAAGCAGTCCAAACCACAGAAATTATAGATATTGTTGGTCACTGATGTGAACAGGTTGATCTTAGAGGGTCCTGAGTAGCCAAAGCCATAACAGCGGGCATTATCAAAAAGTGTCTAATTTATTATTGCCTGATCAAGACAGTTCAATTAATTCCAAGCATATTCAGGACTTGTGGAAGGCAGGTTACAGGTAAACTTGAGGACGACTGACAGGTCCTTAAATGGAGATCATATTACACTACCTACGCAGCGCACTGACAGAGCAGCATTTGTCTGTCAGTCCCCCACCTCTGCCGATGAGCATCAGGAATTCCTGGATTCTTGATCACACACAATTCCAGGTCAGTAATGTATAAATTTCTTTTGGAAAACTGAGGAAGGAAATTGAGGAGGAGAAAAAGGAGGAATAGCACCAAAGTCTGTTCAAGTGGATTTTCAGAGAGAAAAATGAATGTTCCCGAACAGCAGGTTAGTGATGCAAGGGAGTTGTGGCAAGCAAGTGGGGCATGTGCCCCATCCACATGCTTGTTGATGCAGATTAGAACCATGTCATTTTTGAAGAGCTGGTTAAGTGCTCACATCCAGCATATCTCATGCTTTGGCTGACACTGCAGGCAGCCTGACTCCAGAAAGATCTGTAGAATGCACTGGAAGGCTGTGTACATGCTGGAGCCTATAAATACATACACATTTAGCTGGCATGCTAAGAAAGGAGAAAGTAGTACAAAAGGAATAACTAAATTAGAAAAAGAAATAAAAACGGACTAGTCACCTGAGGAGACCACAAGTTACTTTGCAGGTCATGATTTGAGAGGAAGAGAGGCATGTGCCTTTCCACCTGGTGGATGTGTGTGATGCACAGGGAGCAGTGGTGGTGGTAAAGCAGGACAGACACTGCTGGGATTAAAGTCTCCAGTTTAGGCATACCAATAATATGAATGATTTTGTATACTGTCAGTCAGAGGACATCCCTTTAACAGGCACTGTATAGCCAGAAGAATAAGTTGTATTGAGAATCTGAAGCTCTGAAACATAAGATTAAAAATATCCCCGTCTTTACAGTTCCGACAGAAGTTTACATACATGCTGGAAATTTTTTATTTAATTATTTTCTCACTACCCTCAGTGTTACTGAATAATTTACCTAAAGGAAGGAGTCATGTAAATAATGCATTATTACTACTACATAGAAATTCTGGCAAACAAAAGCTAGTGATGAAATATGGACTTTAAATATTGATTAGTTCATAAAATCTGTTTATTAGAAGACTGACAGATCCACAATTTAATCTTATAATTCGCAGAAATGTTTGGAGACAGAGAAACTTTCTATCAGTAAGAACAGTGTCTGAAAGTCCCAACAAATCCCAAATGAATCGAGCTTATTCTAGACAGTGTGGTAATTTTTTTTTTATATGTTCCCTCTTTTAGAAGACAAAATTAATACCTTTGGCTGATTTTTGTTATTTCAGATTCTTAATACTGTGACAGAATACTTACCCTAAAATAAATGGGACAAAAATTGAATCCCTATTTTATATTTTGTCAACAACTTTATACAACAACTTATCACAAGTCAGATAACTCATTAAATCTGAGCAATGTAGTCTAGTATCAGTAAAGATGTGTAGAGAGGTCTAGCACCTGTTATTATAAAACATGGACAGGTATACATCAACTATAGTTAATTATATTTCAAAAACTAAGAGACAACTTTATTGATAGCTGGAATTAGTGGAAAATGTTCCGTCCAGATGGTCATGCTGATAGTAATGGATTCCAGAATACAATGATCTTAAAAAGGTGAAGGGGTGCTTTAAATTGGACCCATACACATTGCTGCCTCCTCCAGTTAGATGTTATATACTTTTATCTTGAAATATCAGCCTTAAAATTATGGGGATTTACACAGTATATGTATATTTTTACATTTATAGGTAAGACTATCCAGTCCAACATCAAGTAGTTTGAGGCACTGAATGAAATTTATACTAATCATCTTTGTAACGCATTATGCTCAAGCTCCATCAGCACTTTGGGAAGTAAAACCGTAAAGCATCTATGCCTGTTCAACGTGTCATATGTAATTGCAGCATACTATATTAACATTATATTATTTTCTTAAAAGTGTTCAGTCTAATTACACCTGAACTGTTATTTTGACTTTATTTTCTAATGGTGTATTTGTTAATTTACAAGAACAGCTTCCATTATATTACTCTCAAATCCTTAAAAAAAGAAATGAGATTAATTCAAGTTAAAAAAAAAATTTAGAATTTTACACCTTCTACTATTTTCTGCTAAGTCAGTGCAAGGTTTCTTTTGTGAAAGAAGAGATACTCGCTCCCTTCCCACACTGTGCAATCACGTGTGTATAACTCTGAAGTTAGCATTTATCTTCTGTTTGGCACCTGTGAAATAGATTGCATCTTTCATCAGGAGTTCATCTCACTGCATATAATTGTCATTCCCAAAAGCTATCAATATATCAACCTTCTCAAAGGCAGCATGCTTGTTGTTTCTTTTTTTTTTTTTTTTTAAATATAAATTAGCTATGGCTAAGGCATTAATGACACTGACCATATCTCACAATAACATTATCTTTTATTAGAGTCTTATTTTACATATCCCCATAAGATATAAAACCTTCCAGGAGAAAATATCAAAAACCTTCAATTGAAATCAGTTTTTTTTTCAGACAATATGAGCAAGTAAACCAAAGACATTTAAGATAAAGGAATGCAAAAAAAAAAATTCAGTACAGGTAAAAGTCTGGTGTGGAAAGTAATTACAAGGTTTTAAACTATTTCTTACACAGCATTGTCTTTAAATCTATAGTGGAAGGTAAGGATGCCTGGTTCTCTTAACCAGTAGTTATAAATCCAGCAGCTATGAAAATAGAAAAAAAAAAAAGAATCATAGAACCGTTTAGGTTGGAAAAGACCTTTAAGATCATTAAGTCCAACCGTCAACCCAACACTGCCATCCCACCACTAAACCATTTCCCTATGATTAAATTAGATGGCCAATGCACAGAAAAAAACAAGAACTTAATCAAAATACCCAATATAACAAAAATACAGCATAAGAACTCATTAAGAGTTGTTGAAAAAAAATCAAGACAACCTCATACCCATCAATAGCCACATTCTGACCCAATTAAAGTAAAATTTATTATCAGACTTTGACTGGAGTTTTGACTTCGTTAAGGATTTCAGGAAAGGTTCCCAAATTGAAGGCTGTTCTGTTGTTACACAGAAAATGCAAAATAAAGCATCAAATCTGCTGGTTAAGGAAGATTCAGGCATCATGATTGTACAGGTGATGATAAAAAAAGAGATACAATGCTATGTGAAACATCTTTTGGAAGCAATTCCAACAGGCAAAATACTTTAAAACTTTATTGCATTAAAATTTTACTTTTCTGCCCAACAAAACTGAAATAGTATCTTAAAAGCTCTCTTGCACAGAACACATAAAAGTCTCTGAAGCATTTTAATTCTGAAGATGCAACAAAATAAATGTTACAAGAACTTTCTGCTGGCAAGTCTACCAAGCTTTGAGTTCCAACAAAAATAGTATTTTCAAATACGACAGCTAAGGAAACTTACAGTACATGTTTATTGCATGAAAACATCCATTTATTGGATCCATCTGATTCTTCCGTTTGTGGTTAGTGGTTCTTATATTCTTGATATAACTTGCACCAGATCCTACTAAGTATTCCATTAATTACAAAACACACAGTAGATTGAATTAAGTAGGGAAATCTACACAATCCCAACAGAGATCCAACCTATTACAATGCATGAAATAAAAGTTTCACTTTCATTTTCTTTTAAGATAGCCTGTAGCTATGTGATATAATTTGATACACTGTGGAACAATAATGATGAAATTAAATACAGTAGGCAATATTAGAGTTAGAAAATAGCACATCTTTTTACCAGTTATAATGACTTTTCATGCATTAGTATTAAAGATAAGCAATGAAGTATGGGAAAGTAAAGCGTAAGCAGGAGATAGAAGAAAGCTATGAAGATAAATGAAGACTAGGAAATGGGATCATACTCAAGTGCATGTTTGTATATATTAACTGTAAACAGCAGCTCTACTTAGGGAAATATTTTTCACACTTGAATGGCTTCAGCACTAGATATGAATTACTTAATATGTGAAAACAAAGCAAAATGTAAGACTCCATTCTTCAGTAATGTGAACACTGGCAATGTAAGTGAGGTTGCAAGTTTGAAAAATGTTGTTTAAAATATAGGCACATGATTCTTAATTAATAGGTCACCACAGTCTGTGACATGCAAGCACATGTTTTGATGGGTTTGCAAACTATGTCTTGCTTACTATCAACTCTCTGCATCAAGCTGCCATTTCCTTGAAAGCAGCTGAATTTAGATTTTACAGTAATTTTTTGTCTGTGTTTCACGTTATGACATCATTTTAATACATTCAAATAGTCAAAATGTTCAGAATAAGATAGCACAAACTTGGTGCAGGAGGACATAGATCAGAGTGTGGCCAGCATTGTTAAATTGGAGATACACAGCTTAAGTATTATATAAACTACCTTTCCCCCAAAAACATTAACATAGACACCAAAATTGTAACAAGACGTATCAAAAAATAAGGCACATTTATCTTGATATGGTAATCTTGAAATAGAAAACTCATTTCAGAGAACATCGGTATCTAAATGAATTTTATAAAAAATCTTGTATTCATGATAATTATGGACATTTCTTATCATACATGATAATGGAATAATTGCACATATCCCAGTGTGTCAAGTAACAAAATGGGAGTTTTATTAAACATTTCCATTGCAAAATTATTTTGTAGGTTCATGTTTTCCTATTTACATAACTCAGGTGAATGGTAGAAGTATTAACATCTACCATCACTTATCACAAGTACTGCAGGCTTTCATTTTACCACAATTAATAATCCCCTTTGTGTTGAATAAATTGAAATTAATTGTGGAATAAATTGAGATTATTGTCATTTATATAAATGATTGTAAATATTTGGACATTAGCTACTACACAAGACCATTTTATTCTATTTTATTTCCAAGCTGCGTCAGGACTTTCTACACGGAATTTTTTGTACATAAATTCATCAAGGATCAGCAAAGAAGGCTGTTTAAAATCCAATCCCCTCTTTATGAAAATTAAAACACCAGAAACATCATTAGTTAGCATTTAACCTGAGATTTAATCTGTTGAGAAGTTAACATCCTTAGAAATTTCTTCACTTGTTGCATTACCTTATACTGATGTTGCTATTTTATGGAAAAAAAAAACCAACCAAACCAACCCCCCAAACAAACAAACAAAAAAACCCCAAACAAAAAGGTTGCTTGCAACATGGCTTTTCACTGTGTTGGTCAAAAAAATCATAGAATGCATGTTTTTCTCACAGTATCCAGAAGCTGGAATAATAATAATGTGCTTCTTATTGCACGTGAAACTTAGAGGAGATATAATTGCAGATTCCTCTTCTCTATCTGAGTATTAAAGCCAGATTTCATCTTAGCCGAATCCGGAACGTATTTATCTCCATAGAACTCATATTTATTTCACTTATATTTCTGGCATCTGGGGGTGAATGCATCAAAGATAAAGATGTGGGTGTAAGACTTTCCACTCTGAATTTGTTAAAGAGTTTATGCACCTTTATCTGGAAAAAAAAAAAAAAAGCAATATATTTAGAACATACAGCATATACCTTAAAATTTACTTTAACCTAGTCTCTAACAATGACCCAAATGATACATCTCCTTACAGGTATCAGCACTGCAAATCTTACACCAAAGATTACGAATATTTTTGAGTACCATGTATCAAATGCTATACACTAAATTAGATTTTTTTAGAGAGTATTCGCATACCACACTTCAAAGCAAGTAAATCAATATATAAAAATAATGATCAGAAATATGTGGATATAAACTCTTCTAGATTCTAAACAAAACAACATTTACTCTTCTTCTTAAAGAAAATCCCAAACCTATTTCAAAAATTTGATTACAAAATTTCTACAGATTCATAACCATCCAGTCCATCTGTAAACTTCAGAACAAAGTTGTATAATTCATATTTCGTAATTTTATGTATCACATCAATTCTACAGCAATTGCAAAACACTCAGATATTTGCAATGGTGTAGGTCACATAAGTGAGCATGGATAGACAAAGCACATGCTATAATAAGCAACAGTATTCAAAGTAGCAGTCACATAATTTGTGAATATGTTAATACTATTTAAGAGATACACTTCAGAAGATGGAATTTGACTCTTTTTACTTCATAAAGTTCTAAAACACTATTAAAAAATATTTGAGTAGAAATGATCCATGTCAAATGAAAACAACATTTACAGGAAGTTAATGAGATTAAAACTGACCTAAAATTTTACTTGTTGATGCTTACATGGTCATTCCTGCACACCAACAGATCCATATCTTTATTAAATGGAAAGCAGCTTTCAAGATAAATGTAACTGTTATCCTGAAAGTGTAATTCTCGAGAAATAACTACCTAGACTTCACCTATAATTTGATTTAAATATCAGTGTTTCTGCAATACTTGTAATGTAAGCTACCCATAAAATGTCAGTATACCTTTCCCTGAGTAGTGGAACAGAGAAGACCCATTTCTCTGTTTGAAAATCTACAGTCGAATCCCTTTCTGTGAAGAATCAGAGCAGCTTCATCAGACGGCTCAATATCTACCTAGAAATAAACAAAATAAAAAAATTACTTAGAAAGTAGCAGAGCTAGAAAGACGTTTTATGACCTCCTGAAATTATCATTACCTTAGAATGACAGAGCCACTTATACCTTAAATAATCAGCCTGGATTTCTTTTAATGTTTATAAGATTAAACATAGAAAAAACTAAACAGAAAAGAGAGTTCAGATATACAAAGTACTACAGAACATAAATGCAAGTTGTTAACCAAGGAGTTCGAAGCTCAGTAGTTGCACACATACAGACTCAGAATTTAAGTGTAGCTATCATAGTTGCATTAATTTGCTTCCCAGAAATCCTGTGCTAATTACAATAGCAGGTTTAAAATACTCATTGTGACTATGTTCTATCAAGCCTTCATTTTGCAAAGTTGCCCTCTAAAAACCAACTCAGCTTAAGCTGTAAACGAAATCGCACACTAAACCACAAGTATTAAATACATTTTGTAAGGCAAGACATACAGTACTCTTGAGCCTCAGTAGGCATCAAAGAGTAACCCAATTGCACCTTCCTAGTTTGGACCAAATCACTAAAAATCACTTAGGACAGATGGTCACAAGAATAGCATATAAATGCCTCAAATCAGAATCTTGTTTTGATACATGCTTCATAAAACAAATCCTAGAACTGGCTGGGAAACTTCAATTTATACAAAAACGTCACTTTTTTTCTTTTACACTAAGATGTAAAAACCCATGAAATTGTACAGCAAGAGAAAACAGCAACAGAAAAGAAATTCTTCTTCAAATTAATGTGCATGTGAGCTATCCTCACACCACACGAGTAGCACATGACAAGACGTCCTTCAGCTGCAAGCTGTTTGCTGTATTGCTACATGCACCTTAGTAATTTATTTTCTATGATGCATTACTTTATTTCCTTTTTGTTGTTTTACATTCTTCAGCTGTTCATCTTATTATATATGTAATAAGGGCATAAAAAAGATGGTTCGATCTGCAGTCATACCAGTCCTTTGCGCTATTTTTCTCTAATTTATTTCCGGTTTATTTGGTTTTGTCCTGGTGCTTTTTCCCAAATGCCTCTGCCATGAATTTATTAATTTCTGGTACTTCGGTAAGTATCTGTTGCCTTGGAGAAACCTATGCCAACAAGCATTAGGCATTTTGTTATGGTTTAGCTTTTGAAGGTGTAACAAACAAGAGAGGTCTTAATCTAACAGGCTTCAGATCCAAACCAATTGTCTCCTAGAAAAGGAGATCTTGGAACAGCTTAGTAGTACAACAAAGTCACAGTATTAAGTAAACACTCAGGTATTAAAAAATGGTAAACTGATTAAACACAGTATTAGTGGCTTTGAGGTAAGTTCCTAACTTAAAATAGCAAAAATTTACTCAACAGTATTTGGAATTGAAATGAGATATTTGCAGTAAAACATTGACTGGTAAAAATTGTGCATAGTTTATACATCATGAATAAAACCCTGTCTGAGAAGATTTTCATGAACAACATTAGCTTATAACACCTAAAATCAGGCTTTTAATTAATGAATGGTGTCTACAGACAGCATATTAAACAAGTTTGCAGTACTTAATATCATTGATGGTTGAAAAAGTTCTTATCCTGTTATTAGGAAGTACCACTTTTTACATTAAGGTAATAATGATGATGTGACAAAATAGTTTTCCGTCTCCAACTAAGAAATACCTTACTTGATTTTCACTGTCACTGATGTGATAGTGTTGCACTTAAAAGTAGACATTTTTATGTACACAAAATAATGCCATCTGCCTAAACATCAGATTAGTGAAATATTAAAATTCATACTGCAAAAGCCTGACCTCCTATGGGGTAAATTAATGTTAAAAATGACAAGCCAGTAATGGGTATCAACACTTTCTCTATTAGAGTGGAATTAACTTGTAGTCATCTGCATAACAAATGCAGTTATGCATTTCAAATGATGGCATGAATATTTCATCTCTTAAGTTTTTAAAATTAAATATTATCTTAATTAAGATTCAAAAGATTTAAAACAGAAAGGCAATAAACAATGACACCTTCAAGAAAAGAGTTTTGGTAAGTATAAGCATCTGTGATATAGCAGTCAACCATTTAGAATTCCCAGGACTTTATCATGCACATAGCATCCACGTGTAATAAGTTAAGATAGCATATGCAAGCCTAAGGCATGTCTGAGCAAGGATGAACCTAGTTTACACCTTCTAAACATGACCACACTAACTGCATGAAAACCTGTAACAACTTTCTCAATTTTCAACAAATAACAATATCCATAATCTTGTAACACTTCACAGCATTGGTGTATGACAAAAACCCCCTAACTACTGTATTATCAAATCTCTGACTGCCTTTTTTGGAAGGGCTGCCAAAGTTTGATTTGATTTTGACGTCCGAGAAACAACATGCAGTTGTCACATCGGCTTCTAGATGAAAAAAAAATTTTGCTAGGCTCTCTCCTAAGCAGTATCCTAGGGCAACGCTGCTAAAATTCTGATGAGAAGGGAAAAACATTTAAGCACTTTTTTATCTGATTACTGTAAGCTAACAGACATGCATTGAAAAGTTCAGGCAACGTGACAAAAACGTGTGTTTATATTTAGTATAAAGGCACAAATGCACTCAGTTTTTAAACCTGGAGGGCCAGTCAGTAGGTAAAATCTATGTCAAACAACTTAAAAACTGGAGCTTTATTATTTTTTTTTAAAATTTCATATTCTTAAAGCATTGGACTCTTCCATGACAGTATCATATATCTTACAACAATAGCAATATTCTTCCCATTGAGAGGAGCAGAGTTTAAAGGGAAACTAGGAATTCCCTTATGTTTTTTCTCATTCATTGCTTTAATGCATTTTCATGCACTCCGATTTCTACCTCAAATTTTAATATACTTTAATTTGGTATGCTTTTTTGTGAAATTGTAATGATACATTTTCTTGAAAATCAACTTCGACAGCTAAAACAATAGAGAAGTAGTCTGCATTTCTGGCAAGAACTGCACTGTGTCAGTTAGCCAGAATTATGACTCTTGTCATTCAAATTCTTGGAAAATGGAGAAAGGAAGCAGAAAGTGAGGAGAGATTTTAAAAGGCCATTTTGGTATGCAAGAAATTCTATGCAGGGCGTACCACCATTTCTGCTGTGGGGAAGAACTGTTCTGTACCTATAACGACAGGCATCCTATCCTATGACTACTGATAACTTTCCCTTTGAAGTACACAAAGTAATGCTGCAAGTTCAAGAGCTGTCAGTCAAGTAATCATTGAAATATACAGTTGTGGACAGGGAAGAGATCATAGCCTCAGACAATCTTATACTGACTGGAATAGCAAGGCCAGTATAGCCCAGACAAAATTGTAGAATTTACTTATGAGTAGTAACATTGAACTCAAGCCAGCAGATGCAGAGCCAGCCTTCCATTTCACAGGTTTCATGGTCACACAATACAAAGGGAGGAAATTTAGGCCTTGAAAAGGAGAGGGGGCATGTTCATGAAGGTCTGCCCCTGAACTTGCCATGATGATGCAAACAGGTGGTGCTGAGCTTGCTGAGGTAAATGAAAGATTTTACAGTGAAGTGTGGAATATACACCTCACATGAAGATTTAATTCAATTCAAAGTTTCCCCCTAACTCTTCAAAGGCATAAGACCCGCAGAAATAAGAAGTATTCCTCTTTGAAATTCAAAATAAGAAACAGTCACAGCTCAAGGAGCGTACATGAGATTGAAGTACTAACAAAGAGTGAAAAAGTAAACTGATTCTTTAAGTTTTAAAATAAAGATTACAACTGAAAATTAAAAACTATGATAAAACAGAAGCTAATGGCAAGTTTTGCAGATATTCTGAATATAATCTGAGGTTATTATAGATGAGCAGTTCTACCTCACCCACCGCTACAACTCTAAGGGAGAAGGGACAACTGTAGTTTTTGAGTATCTAAGTATGGCAGAATTAAAAAGGGATTTAATCCATGATAATGCCACTGGTGAGTGATATTGCAATACAGAATAAAGTTAATATACCCACTTTTCAAAGGGTGTTGAAAAACCGAAAAGAATTTACACAAAAGGTGGCGGAAGAAGGATGCAAACACAGTTCTACTTTTATACTTTCTCAAATAGAAAATTGAAATATGGTGGTTATAATTGTGTAAGTTCCTCTGCAAGGAAAAAAAAACATTTTGAGTACAGAACAGGTTTTCTGTTTGCAGGTTTTTTGGTGGGTTTTTTTGTAACCCTACCAGCGAACAGTTTCACAGGAACGAAGGATTGTAAGCTGATGTTACAATAATTAAAACAGGTCTTGTATTTAAGCTTAAAAATATTTTAACAATTTATTCTATGGATGCTAAAATGTGGTAGATTTTCATTAAATCTTCCAAATGGAATCAGATGGGTTTAAAACTGTATGTTTTATTAAAGCTACAAATTATTGTTCTCCGAACAAAGGCCAATGGAGTTAAATTTTATTATTCTCAATACAGACAGAAGAGGCCAAAGTATCTGCACTTAAACTTTGAGAACGCACTGAAGTGTGTCCACCTTCAGAGACAGAATAATGCACTATGCACAGTATTACGTGAAAAAACACAATTCCTATATTTCACATTACTCAAACTGACACAAGTCTCTAGTTCTTGCAGAATTAACAAAAACTAATCATCACTCTGCAGTTTATCATATCATAGACAACCCCCCCACACATTACCTTCCCAGAATAAAATATTTGATTAGACTGTATCACGTTTGCTCATAAAAATAGTGGTTTGACCTTACCTTTGATTGGATTGTCCTCAGATTGACTATATGCATGTCACAAGGCATGGATGACATGAGTGGAGAAAAAGTGTTTAGCATCTCTGGGACACCTGAATCTGCATATGTTATCATTGAAATTAAAGGATGATTTAAGAAAGAAGAAGTCATATGGCTAAGAAGTGAGGGAAAACTGACTGATGCCTTCTCTTCATTCTGCAAAATACAAGAGAAAATATTTGTAAAATCAAATTAATAAACCATCACGTCTAAATTTTGAAACCCACTTATATGATTCCATTAATTTATTTGAAAAATTTTATTTATAGATTGTCCATTTAATTACTTTTGGAAACTTCCAAACATCCACTATTCTCTTTTCTAGTACTGGGTATGTTTCCTGTTTTTACATATCATTAGAACATCTTTCAAAAAGATCATTAGATGATACCTCATTTTACACTATTCCTCAGGTTTTTTTGTTAGCCTTTGATGTGTAAACAATATAGTTTAGAGAAAGAAACTACCTCCTTGCTACTCCTTTAGCAAGTTGCTCCTATTTATACAGTATCTACTTGAAATACTGACAGTGAGCTAGTCTTTTGCAGGCTTCCTTTTCTGCATAAATTTTTTATCTACTTGCTTCAGATTAATCTAACTTGTATCCTACATTGCTCCTTTTAAAATCTAACTTCTTAAAACTGTTTTCTGGAAGAAACTGCAACTAGCATCTTTGTCTTGGTCCGCAATACAAAAGATTTCTTTCAGCAGTTTTATTTCAACATCATGCCAGCAGGAACTGAAGGGACTCTCTCCCAAGATTTTACAAGTTTTGTACTTTCCCAAGTTTTGTATTTGCCTTGCTTTTACATGGTTGTAGAAGCTGTGTTACAAGTCTGAGGTAAGTCTTACATATTCACAACAGCTGGTTAAAGCTCCATAGAAACCGTAAAAGAAAACAAAGGAATTTTAAAAAGACAATTTGTGTTTTAGAATGTCAGTGATAAGGTAGAAATCAGTGAAAACTTATTTTGCTCTTATTTTTCCTTGCATACTTAATCAGATAAATCCCTGTTTGTTTAAACAGGTGATTTTTAGTGAAAACTTTGCAGAAAGTTTACTGAAAGCACAGTATCTTAAGCATTGATACCTTAAATTTGCATTTTATGATAGGCTGAAAACATGGAAATAAAAAATAAATGGGAGATACTTAAAGCAAAGGGGGGGATTATTTATCAGCTTATAAAGGTAAACCATGACAGTAATACCTGTTTTGGGGTGCGTATGCATGTATGCATATTTATTCATACCTCTGCAGAAGCATTAAATACATCTGACAGTGTAGGAACTGAAAATATCCCAGAGCTGAATTGATGCAAGATGATAATTTCTGGTTTAGTCCTGGTGCTTTTCTTAGTAATGACTAACACTTTTTGCCTCTTTGGTAGCTACTAAGCATTGAGGCTAGTATTTTTATAGATCTATTATGACCCCAAAATTACTTTCCGAAAATGGTAATAGTAGATGGTTGTAGAGGATTGCTCCTCCATGTTCCTCACTACATGTATTTACATGGAATTCCATCTACCACTTTATTGCATGCATCATCAGTGTTGAGTCCTCCAATTTCTTAGCCTTGATTTTTTTATTAACTTGAATAGTTCAGCATTACTGGCAAACTTCCTTGTCATGTTTTTCTCTTCCAATTAAAGTATGAGCATGCTTGCTCTAAGTACAGCTAAACCTAAATCTTCAGTTGAAGTGACTGCATGCATGCTCTATCCACAGGGAAAATGTGCATCTACATGTTCTTTCAAAAAACAATTCACTGTTTCACCCCAAAAGGAACACCATTTACTCTGTCACCATAGATGTGCTAAAGTCAATCAAAACATTTTATTGTCAATTTTCTTACTATTATTCAACTGTTTTTTCTGTAAAATAAGTTGATTGCTTGCATTTGAGAACTTTAAAAAAAGCCCTTGCAACTGGTTCCTAGTTCTAGGCATGTTGCCTGAGAAAGAGCAGAAGACAAAACTATTGTCCAGCAACAACAGCTATTTGAGGTTAGTTTTTCATATGCACTTTCAAACAATGGGCATTCATACTCAAAGCATTTGAGATCATAGATTTTGCTTAAACAGAGTTCACATTCATCCATTTCCTCTACTTTCAACCATTGCTTAACATTCATTACAAACACATCGAAGTAAGAAGTGCATGCCCTGTAAGAAGTGCACCACCCATAAACACCACAGTTCCCCTTAACTCTAGATTTCAGGGACTCCAAGAAGTTGGAAAGAGGAAGAAGGGTGAGCCTTCACAGGAACAACCTTTTTTTTTTTAAAAAAAAATTGTTCCTACATGCAAATTCTCACAGTAAGACATCCTGAATACTTACTTGGAGAGGGGCCACAGTTTGTTATGGGAACAATGAAAAAAAATAAAATCATTCTACTAAGTGAAACTTCATGCCTGGAAGGACAGTGTTTGGTGAAAACAAACAGAACTCATTTAGATGTCTTCGTAATTTCAGAAACAGATGTTCCTCTGAAAATGCCACTAAGGTCATTTGAGAAGAGCCACGAGATCTTCCTGAAAGCTTCTGTTCCATGTACAGAAAAATACTGTGTACACAAACACAAGCATGACATCCATGGGTCAAAACCTTTCCCAAATCCCAGACAACAGAAGTAGAGGAAAAAACAGGAGGCAAGTTTGTATATTGGCTGACATTAAAGTAAAAAATCACCCATCGTAAAAATATCAGATAAATCCCTAGCCTTGTTTAGGAAAAGGGAGCACAGGCCAGGTCAATCTTCTAGGACTGAATCCTTCAAAGGCTTCTCTAAGGCTAACAGAGGTAATGTGAATTAAAAAGGTGTTTTTAATATAAAGCTGCAGTAATGTATATTGCAGTTGAGAAACCAGGCAAGATGGAAGGAAAGACACTAGAAACTTTGAAGAAGAAAGAGGGTGAGAGAGAATCATTTACTATCAACGGGACAAAATTCTCAGATAACCTGTAGCAGAACCATAAAGAGAGGCTCCTCAATTCCTAAATTCTGGAAATAACTGAGGATTGCAGAGAAACACAGTCTTGAAGGACTCTGGCAAATGCTGGAATGAGAGCTGATTCAGCTTGGCTCTTCAGCAGCTCTTCCTCCATGCTCAGGATCGGTGCATCCCTGTGAGTAGGAAATCAAGTAAACGAGGCAAGAGGCCTGCATGGATGAACAAGGAGCTTCTAGTGAAACTCAAAGAAAAGAGTAAGCTCCATGGAATGTGGAAAGAGGGTCAGGCCACTTGGGAGGCATACAGGAATGCTGCTAGAGCATGTAGGGAAGCAACTAGAAAGGCCAAGGTTCACCTGGAACTAAGTTTGGCAAAGGATATCAAGGATAACAAGAAGGGCTTCTTCAAGTATATCAGCAGTAAATGTAAGACTAAGGGAAATGCGGGGCCGCTGCTGAATGAAATGGGTGCCCTGGTGACAGAAGATAGAGAGAAGGCGGAGCTACTGAATGCCTTCTTTGCTTCAGTCTTCACTGTCGAGGCTGGCCCTCAGGCTCCCCAGTCCTTGCAGGTAAGCGAGAAACCTTGGAGAAAGGATGACCTTCCCTCGGTCGAGGTGGATCAGGTTAGGGATCTTTTAAGGAAGCTGGACACCCACAAGTCCATGGGCCCCGATGGAATGCACTCGCAAGTGCTGAAGGAACTGGCAGATGACATTGCTGAGACACTCTCCATCATCTATGAAAGGTCGTGGAGAACAG